CCCTGCAGCCTGGGGCCCCTCCGCTCGCCCGGCTCAGCTCCTGGATGGCAGCCCGTCCTCGAGTGACAGCCCGACCGTCTCCGCATCGGGGTGCCTCCTCCTCTTCGCCTCGCTCTCCCCCCCGGTCTCGGGGCGCTGGGATGTCTGTGTCCCACGGCCAGCCCCCCACGCCGGCCCCCTTGGTGGAGGCCGTCCCCCCACGCCCGTACCTTCTAAGAGGAGGGGGAGCTAGTGCAGGGCGGAGGCGCCGAGGTTAGGGGGCCTGGGAGTCAGACAGTGGGACCCAGCTTCGGAGCTAGTCCCCACCACCCGGCAGATTTCAGGCTTCCCCAGTCCGGCGTCCGGGGGGCGCACCCCCTGGCGGCCGCAGTGAGGACTGCGTTCCTGGGAGCCCGCAGGGTCCCCAAAGCGGCTTGTGGGACCTCAGGCTCCAGGTCGGTCTCCCTGTCCCGGCGTCCTCCCCAGTTTAGGAGGAAGCGATGCTTAGATGAGTCAACACAGAAGCTGTCCAGGGCCTGGTGCCTTAGTCCAGAGAAAGAATGTCGTGTCTCCGGGTCTGGGTCTCTGGCCCTCTTCAGTGGCCATGAGGGAGGTAGGACTGTTGGGGCGTCTGAGTTGAGGCAGGAGTTTCCAAGTCTTTATACTGGGCAAGCTCTAGACCCTGAGCTGGCTCTGAATCCTCAGGGTGGTGCAGGGCCACCAGAAGTTGGTAAGTGGCTGTGCCAAGGGTGGCCCCCACCATAGGGGCCAGCACAGGCACCCACCACCAGCCATTACCAGCCCTGCAAGAGAAGGACAAAAGGGAGATATCAGGGTGACTCCCCCAGTCTTCCCCCAAAGGACTGGAGGCAGTAACAAGAGAACTCCCTTAAGCAGTTCCTGGGGTGGTAGACACCAGGAAAAGGAAAAGGGGGTGGAGAGAGGAGGAGTCCCCAGGAGGGCTTAGTCCAGCCTCTTGCCTTAGGTAATCACTGATACCCAAAAAGGTCATATGCATCCCAGAACACGACCTCTAAACCCTACTGTTTCAGTGAAAAGGGTTGGGGTGTGGGGCAGAGCAAAAGGGAGAACTGGGGCTTAGAGGAGGAACACTGTCCTAAGAAGCTAAGAACTATTTAAGAGGAGAATGCTTAGGCTGGGAACCCAGGGGCAGAGCCTTTAGCAGAGGGAGGTTGAGTGGAGGGACAGCACCAGGGGAGGCTGTCTCGCACCTGAAGACTTCAGGGCCCCAGCCGGCCACGTAGGTGAAAATCCGTGGGCCCAGGTCCCGGGCAGGGTTGAGTGGGTATCCACAGTTGGCACCCATGGAGAGCCCGATGGCCAGGATCAAAAGGGCCACTGCCACGGGCTCCAGACCCGCAGGCACTCCCTTGTTCCGTGTGTCCAGGATGGCCAAGATCCCCACAATCAGGACCGCAGTTCCCAGAACCTTAGAGTGGACAGATGCAAAGGATTCCGATCAGCTGGCAGGTAACCCATCTGCCCTCTCTCACCCAAAT